ACTTTGTTATAAACAGTTCAAACTAAATTCAAGGTCAGAAAGACTGCAGCTAACAGAGCTAATTTCCCACATCATTTAACCTTTTTAATACATATTTTTCCACATTTGCCTATACAGAAATGAATACACTCTTGCTGATGCTAATGTTACTTGGATTTTATTTATAAAACCATTTTATTTGTATGAACTTTTATTACAGGAAAATGAATTTTTATTACAGGAAAAGGGGGCTTATATTCATTTATGATTATTATTTCAATAATAATTTAATAACTGTTAATTATTGGAATAATTTATTGTGGGGAAAAGCAAAAAAGCCATGGTAAATGGATTGAACAGGTAGTATGCTTCCTTTTAGGGTTAAATACAATAATTTATAATCTGGCATTTTGTCCTGTGTTCTGTGTAGAGTAAAATCTGTTACTGAAACCTTTTAAATCTTGCTACTAAATATTATTTATTAAATAATATTTATTAATTATTAACTATTATACTATTAAATCTTATACTACTGTGCAAAAGAGACCTCAAAAAACTTCCTGAGAAGCTGTAGCTTATCATCCCTTCCCTGTGTCACTGACAGCAGCAAGAAATTGTACACACAGAAGAATACTGACTGCAATTCTGATGGTGTGGGAGGTGGCCACAAGGTAATGCAGAACTTGCCTGTAGTTAAAGCTCCTGTAAGTAGGGAGAGGCCTTGTTGGTATCTGTCACTGAAGATGTGCTTGTCATTTGGCCGTTTTAAAACTAATCTCTCTCTAGAGTACACCTGCAGTTACATACCAAATCATTTTACAGATCATGTCACTCTACAGGGCTTATACACAAACAGTACTGGAAGTCAAAGGTTGCCCTTGAAAATTAATCTCCACATTAATCATAGGTAAACTCTAAGTGAACTGACACTAGCCTTTGAAAACATACTTTAAATTTCTGATAGTATCTTTGTTCTTCAAGACATTTTATAAATTATTCTGTTTACAAAGATGACAAATTAGTAAGATCCAGTCAGCTCCAAGGTAGAAAAAAGTAATCACCTATCAAGGAGTAACTAGAAATTCCATTGTTCATGTAAAAGGAATTTCATCTCAATCAACAGTGGCAAATCAGCTTCCTGCTATGAAAAAAATGAAGACATGAGTTAGTATCTTTAAGATACCTTTCAGCAAGCTCAATAAACTTTCATTACAAGTTTTACTTGCTTTCTTTCAAACCAGCAGGTTCTGGCATAATGTAAACTAGGATTTACTTTATATTTACTTTATCATAACTTATTAAAAAGCAAGATGTGAAAAGTAAATCAACATCACATCTCAGTGCATAAAAGCACAGACTAATAAATCAGATGCGTTGCTCCTTCCAGCCAAAACCCACCAGCTGCATTTCTTATCCTGATTACATCACTTTGAGTAGTATTTCCAAAGTCTGCAAGAAAGCCCAAAATAAACAACCAAATTAACTTATTGTTTAGTATACTTAAGAGAAATATCTGAATTTTCTATAATGTGAAAGAGAAATCTCAGGTTGAATAAGTGGTAAGATTCTGTAATGATTATATTTTTCAGTGTAGCAACAATACTTGCCTTTCTTTATTCCTTCTTGAAAGAAACTCCTTCCTATTTCAAAGCTTACAGGTTTCAACACACTGCAGCATCCTCTTCTCCCTGCCACTTTTGCTACCAAACTTTATGCTGCTTTTCTTGTAATGGTTTTTGGTTGTCTCTGTCATATATATTTCAAACAATGACAAGGAAATATAATAGAAAATAATGTTGTTACCTCTTGTTGTATGTTTGGAAAAGCATGGCAAACCTCCTTTTTGATTGTATTTTATATGGTTACTTTTGTACCTTATTTGATTGGCAAGTGATGACAATCTTTGTCCTTAGTGACTTTCTTAACCCCTCAGAAAAGAATCCAGAGCTTATATAATTTATTATTGCTGGGGACACTGTTGGGGTTTTAAAATAATGGTTATTGTAGTCTAAGGATATGGAAGAAGCAAGACTTCCAGGAAAAGGTAATAACATTTAGCAGAGGAATTGATTCAGACTGAGAAATGGAAAAGCTTTCAAGGGCCTTTCCTCACAAATATTTCCTCTCATACTACTTCTAAAATCTGTGTGAAACAAGGAAGGGTATTAGGTACTGTAAATCTACAGGATGAGTCTGACCTTGAGTCTCAGGCTCAGCAAAATATTTAGCAAGTCTTTGTGACTCCTATCTACAGCTGAAAAAATATTATGAGTATTCAGTAAATTATTTAGTAATACATTCTAATGTTATTACAACACAGTGTCAAACGGCATTCCAAGCTGGATTTCACACATAGTTACTGGGGCTTAACTAGAAGAATATCATCTGCTGCTTCTAAAACATCTTTGACCTTCAGGTTTACCGCACCCTGAACGAAATACCTCGCTGACTGACTGGCAGGAGTGAAGGGTGCAAGGCAAAGAGCTAAAAGCATCGCAGAGCCTCGCTAGCTCAACCAGACTTCGGGTCTCAGGTGAGTTACGTTTTTTTTATCTCCTTTCCCATTCTCTCTAATCATATTCTTCATCTTCCTTATCACTATGAGTCTCCAAATCCTTATGAAGCGTTCTAAGGGACATGCAATATATTAATGTAAGAAAATATGACAAAATGAGAAGAGATGTCTAGGGAGTATTACACGGACAGTTCACAAGGACACAATGTTCATATGCAAATTGGAAGTTCGTGAAGTGAGTTCAGCCAGCACAACTATTCCTGCCAAAATTAATAGCGAATATGGAGTAAAAACAGCGGGGTTTTGTTTTCTCTGCAAAACTGGCCATCCTCACCAAAACTCTTCCTGAAACTATACCATTATATCGATAAAACACTAACATTTAATGAACAAAAGAGAGCAGTCAAATCTACCATTCAGGCATGCAAAACCTGTGAATCCTGATTGCATCCCAAAACAATTGAAGTAACTGACCAGAGAAAATAAGAAAATCTTTTAAGATCTATGTTTGGAAAGCTTAGAGATATGCAAAATCATATAAGGTTTTGGATTGGAAGGGATCTTAATATCATCTTGTTCCATCCCCTCTGCCATGGCAGTGACACCTTCCACTAGACCAGGTTACTCCAAGCCCTGTCCAACCTGGCCTTGAATGCTGCCAGGGATAGGTGCAGCCACAGCTTCTCTGGGCAACCTATTATGCCAATAAGAACTTCAAGTCCTCAAAAGTCTCTAAGATGGTACCATGAGTAGTTTTGAAAACCCCAGTTAAGAGAATGGCGCATTTTCAACACAGTTTTGCAATTGGAATTTGGGTGTAAGCAATTAGAAGAGATTAAAAACTAACAACCCTCCTCCCCCTCCCCCCCCTAAAAAAAAAACAACACCCAACCAACCCTCTCCCCCCCCCAAAAAAAAAAAAAAAAACACAACAAAAAAACAACAAAAATCAACCAAACCAAAAAGACAAGCAGTTTGAAGTAGAAGAGAGCTTTGGCTATTGGCTCTCAAAAGTGAATTGCAAGTAAAGGGCTGCTCTACTGTCACTGCGAGTCACACCGTTAGCCCCCGATTACGCCTCTATAAATCCAGGCAACCAAGCCCAGCGTGCTGTAGAGCCACAGAAGGTAGCTGCAGTCTCTTTTTGCTGCTTATTTATCTTTTCATGTGAGCTTTGTTCTGCTTTCTCCTTACCCTAATAATAATTTGTCATCTTGAATGCTGTCAGCTGTAAGTTTTCACAGCACTAACACCACTGATCTTCAAGTTTATGGGTTCCCTTTCTCCTGGAGCTGAGAAGAGGTTCTTCTATTCCATACAGACTCCCAGCGGGCTCATTTGTATGAGCAGATCAACGGGCGGGAACCGTTCCCGGGCGGACTCCAGCTTCGGGGCAGCTGTTTCCCAGCCAGCGGTAAAAGCTGTGGGGAGGGGATGCTCCCGCAGCGCCGGCAGCATCAGGTCTGGGTTGCTGGTACGGACCATCGGTGCCGCCGTCTGCTTCCAGAGAGCGTCCGGAGTGGGACAGATGGGGGAAAGTGGTTTTACCTTTGCTTGGCGCTTCCTTCGTATTCAACTTTCTGGGGTGTCTCCTTGTATTAAACTGCCTGGGAAAACCGTTTTATTCAGTCAAAGCGCTACCTTGACGTTTCAGTCAGTGAAAAGAGCTGTTATTTCATGGGTAGATGCTTAAACAAAATTTTCTTGGCCAGGAAGAAACATATGCAATTAGAATTTGGTCTGAACCCCCCTGTGTTTGGAGTACAGACCCAGCTCCCATTCAGTGCCTCCAGGCATTCCTGGATTACAGTGGGGACAGAGCCTTGGGTACCATGGTCTTGTGTGAGGCATCCGTGCCCATAGCAGGGGGGTTGGAAGTAGATATCTTAAGGTCCTTTCCAACCCAAACCATTCTGTGATTCTACGATTTCCAGGCTGCCACAAGGAAAGGTTCTTTGAAAAGCTAGTGCACACACCTTTTGTTAGCCCAGTGTGCCTTAAAAGGAAACCAGTGTTGAACGCTGGTGCCCCAGACCTATTTTTCTAGGCATGATCACTGAAGAAGTGTTTATTGTACCTAATAAGGGAATATTCAAGACGTCACAGTTGCTCAGTATTCAAAGGCATGGAGAGATTCGAACTTGATTATTTGTAGCCATTTAGCCAGTACTAAATGATATTTGCTGCCACTTATTTGCACAGCTTCTGCTTCCAAAAAGCAAGTTCATAACTTTTCCATATATAATCTTGTTCTCTAGATTTTGAAGTATTTTGCTCTAGATAGGTTATTGTTCTGAATTTTGAAAGCGCTGACATTCTTCAGATGATGGTGGAGCATCTTTGTAGGATGCTATCGGTGAAGGAAGGGAGCATGGAGAAGATGAGGAAAGATTTTTCTATTTGAGAAGACATGCTGGGTGCATCTGCAGAAGAGATCTGTTGTTTTCCTCAAAAAAAAACCCACATGCTGATGAACCTCTGTCATAGGGTGATTGTTTTGTTTCTCTCCAGTCTCCAACCATAGGCCTCTTGCTTCCAAACTAGCTTCTAGCATGTGAACCTGACAGTCGGTAAGTGGCCTTATAAACTGTAGGGTCTGGCAGAATGCTTATTTGAGGGATTAGGGTCTGGAGCCTGCAATGTCCACAACCACAAACTAAGATATATTTCAAAGCCAAACAAAAAATACATCCTCATAAAAACTAATCCCAATAATTAATGTAATGAAACTTGGGGATTTCTAAGTAGCCAAACTTTGTAGCCAGGTTCTCTTGCCAAGATGCAGTCCTTCTTGTGCTTTAGACATAAGACAGTAGAGATGATACAGAAATAAAGTTTTACTTAAAATACTTGCAAATTAAAAACTCATGTGGTCAGGTGGAGCAGCCAGGTGGCTGCCACAGAGCCTGTCACCATCACGTGTTGCAGAAGTCTGTCTTCCACAAATGTGGTCGAATTAAAAATGAATTCAAGAAATGCATTCATTTGCTTAAAATTTTTAGTGAATATGACAAATTTTATCTTGAATAAAGACACAAGTATTTCTCAGCTACATGGATAACCTATCTTCATTAGCTTCAAAATGTCAATTGTCTGAGCTTAAATGGAGCTATTGTAGGTTTACACTCATACTTTTGTCAGCTTGGTTTCTGTTAGTGTTTCCCTTAACTGGGATATGACATACAAAGTCTCAATTTTAAAATACTTGATAAAAATAAGTAGAAAATGCCAACAGTAATATATCTGGGCTTAATTTTGGCCTTTTTTAAGGTAGAAGCATTAAGAATTAGGCTTGTTTTACTTAGGGCTCAGCAATGGATTCATCAGAATGATCAACAATTGAAAGTGAACAGAAATCCAGGTAACTTATGTTACAAAGGTTATACAAAAGTGACTCTTAACGAAAATCTGAAAATACAGTGGAAATATATCCCTGAAAATTGGATACGAGATGAACATCATGCTTGAAAACTTGAACTAATCCCAGAAATAAGTTTCTCAACTGAGTGCTTCATACTTGGTTAAGCACTTTGTAAACTGAAACAGTTTATGCTGAATGTAGCAGGAGGGCATGGGGATTCTCAGCAATGTGTCCTGTGTAGGCATTAGCTAGCAACCTTATCTACATGTCTATTAATTGCTTTGGCTAAGGCTGTTTCATGTAAAACATTATGGTTTCAGCGGATTGTGAAATAAAAGGTGTTATTTCCATATTACATCCATATTACCAGATTAACAGGAATCAGAAATCTGTAAAGGTAGTTCTGCAAGTCAAGGGTGTTACTAAATCCTTGACTGTGTACAGTGTCATCACTGTATGATTTGAATGCATTTTCACTTATTTGCAAAGTAACCATAAAAGCCAGATTTTCTCAACACAACAGTTGTTGTGCTAGCTTGTGTGGTGAATACTGACGTAGAACCAAATACACCTCGGAGAGTCATCTGTGGTCAGTAACACCTGAACAGTGGGCAGGATGAACCCTTGATCAGAACAAGCACAAATGTTCTTATGGTTGTGTCTCCTAAAGTAAAAACAAATGAGAATAAATATTACTGCTTCTCCCAGAAAACCAGGAATTTGTTTCTTTGAAATACTCTAAATGTCTCTTTGAAACAGTTGTGCTTACTTTCCATCAGACATGTATTAGGTAAATGATTGGACAGTCCTGTTTTCAAAAATTCATTTGAAATGGTGTTTGGCAAGCCCAGTGGACTGACAATTAGTAATTGTCAAGTTACAGTTTTACATCTGCTGCTTAGAAAGTTTTGAGCTGAGAATTTCCATGGTTTTAAGTGGAATAAAAATTGTGCATTGTAGCCTTCTCTTTTTTAAAGCTGTAAATGTGTTGTGTATGTAAAGATTGAGAGTCACACACGTTGCTCTGTGGGCACTTCCACACTACTAAAACTGTTCCAGAAGCAGTTGCAAGTTTTCTCTGCCTGTGCTTCAAGCCACTTGGACCAAGCTCTTCATGAAACCTCAACAGAGGTTAACATTTGAATCTCTCAGGAATTACTTGTGTCATACCCACAACTCTCCTCTAGTTTCCTCTAAAATGAAGGGCTTTCTGTTCTCATCAGCTGAACGGCAGTTAGGCAGTTGGAGGTTGAACTCCTCAGGGCTCTGTCAGCACAAGGCTGCTTACAAGCTTCGATGCAGCTTCCTAAGCCATCAGAAGTGTTGTGTCACAGTTACAGAACTCATGTCATGATAACTTGCGTATTTTACACCTTTACCATGAGTATTTGTTTGCATTTGTCAGCATGTTGAGATCATACAGGGAGAAAAGGATGCAATAGTAATGTACCAGCAAGGACACGACATACATATACACAAGGGCTGACTTGTTTGCAGTGGGTTTCTATGGAAATAGTTTAAACATTGTTTAAATCCAAATAGTATGCTGCCAATTCTCTCAGCAAGCAGATAATGGATAGTCTCAATGCAGCAGAATTAAACCCAGTTAGTATGTAAGTATGTATCTGGATACAATTTCTAGTATGCAAGTTTTACCTAATTTGAACTACTCCAATCATTGAGCACATTAACTCTTAGGGTTTTTTTGATGAGGTGGTGTTACTTCACCTACCACTGAATTGTCTCAGCCCTAAAATGATAAAATTACCAACCCAGTTGCCAGCACTGGCAATCATCTTGGATTTTCTAAGCTGCCTCTTACCTCAGTGTCTGCAAGAGAGCACCTTCAGGGCCATATTGTTTTGACACTGACACATTTGTATCTGGCAGTCCTGGAGGGTTGATTCAGTCAGGTATCTCTGCTTATGTTCCCCATGGATTTGATCTGTTATGCCTGCTGAGGTCACATCACAACACCAAAATGAGGACGTACAGGGAGTGGAAGTGGTGGGTCTGTCACATGACCTTGCTATCTGAATCATGGTATGTCAACTCTTTACTCCCAGGTCACAGAAACAGCTTCTGCTTGTTCTCTAGTATGTATGTGTACAGAATGAAGAGCTTAGAAGTAAGGTGCATGCTTCTTTCTGGACTAATTACTGAGATGGGTCAAGTTTTTGTGGTGTGTGGGGTTTTGTCCCTTAAGTAGATAAAGACCTGAAGACATTATGCCAAGAAAAGTGATCTGACATAGCGCATGAATGCTGTATTCCTCTCTCCTAAACCCATACTTGGCTTTTTATATGCGGTACAATTCCTAAGGATCTCAAGTATCAGTTCTCAAGGCTTGATCTGTTGGGTTTTTTTTAAAGGTAAAAAACAAAAGCAAGACCAGCCTGAATATAGACTACACTCATCCTTTCCCTTTGAGAGACTGTATTTATGCATACATTACTTCTGAAAGTTAAGTCTTTTAGTGGCAGCACTAAAAGACTCTCACCTCTACAATTTGCTTCTCTAGTCAACATGAATGTGTTTTTTTGAGAATTGATAGTCATGGTATTTTGGATGCTGATGGATCAGCTTAGAACACAAACTGTTGCTTCAAGTTGCAGCAAAATAAATCAGATGAGCTATTTATGACACTGATTACTGCAGTTATTTATGCCTATGTAACTCCTTATCCTGTGCCTGCAGTCAGATCCAGGGTAGGAAATCACATTCCCTTCTTTGGTGAGGGAAGCTTATGCATAGCATTGGCAGTTCTGCTGTCCCTGCAGTCACTGCTGCACTGCAACTTGTACAATAGCTTCCCCTGACTCAAGTGCCACTTACTTGTATGCTGAAAAGTAGATGATGCATAAGTAAAGGGGTTATTTTAATTCCTAACATGCACCATAAGAAGGTAGAAGTGCCTGGTTTTGGTTTCCTCCCCCATCAAAGAATCTTAGGGATGGGACTGCTTTGTAGCTACCTTAGGGTTTGAAATACAGTCAAAAGGGACACCTTGAAACTTGGCTGTTCCATTTACCTGTTAAATTAAAGAGTAACTTGTTCAAGGCCCCATTACTATTACCTGAGCACTGTGAAAGAGCTAACTTACAAAGTGGTATGTCAAACGATGTTTGCCAATTCTACCGGGGGTGGCTCTTTAAAAATAAGTATAAATGGAAGACATTTACTAAAAAAAACCCACTTGTTGACCATTTCTTGTCCTGTGTAATGATGGTGATAGGACATTTCTGATGATGGCATTCACTCCCTTAATAAAATACTTAAAGCTAAACAGACCACTGCTGTACGGTACCTAAAAGATGTACCTTTCACCATTCTTCAGACCATTCAATTCTTTGCTGTATTTTCCTATTTCAGCAAATAGTTAAATAAGCAAAAACCAACCCAAACTTCAGTATTTGAAATACAGCATCTGATGTAGCTCGAAGAGCTCTGAAATATCACTAGAGGCTGCTCTTCTGTTCATCCTTCCGACTACTATAAGTATTTCCACATCTGTCAGTGGAGCCTGAATTAAGGGACTGATGCTAATTCATGACTTAGAGAGTAAATTATTTTATTTAATAGACTATGGCAGTAACATTACTATTTGACATACATCTGTCTACAATATAAGTTGGCACACTTACATTGTTGAAACATTCCCAGAGGAACCTGTTATTACTGCTCACATCATTCCTTTCTATGCAGCAACCCCACCTGACCAGACACCAGTTGTGTGCAACAAGCACAGTATCAGGGGTACATTACAAAGTAGATGTCCGCTGTACTGCTTACACAAGGAAGCTAGTATATGAACATAAGATCTAATTATGAACAACCATAAACCAAATGAAGCTCTTCAGCATACACTGAGGTGAAACATAAGCCAGATGAAGTAATTCAGCCTCTCTCAGTGTTCCATAACCAACTTCATTAACTTGGCTCCCTGGATGAAGCATGGCCATCAAAATAAACTGGGCTTCACTGGGATAACTAGGTAATAACAGTCTTAACTGCAAACCAACAGACTTTTTTCTAAGGCTGTTTTATTTCTTCCACTTTTGGGTGGGGTGAAATATCTCACAGGTGAAATATCTCCAGGTTGCATAATGCTTATAGAGACGTATCGTGTGCTTTTGTAAAGTAACTAGTATTTTCATAAGGTTGCAGCGGAAGACTGAAGTCTTACTGGCCAGCACAGGAATCACCTGAGATAATGGGCAGATTCCAGTAACTTGTTTTAAGAAACAGAAAATAATCCTATCTGAAGGCAAATGGATGGAGCTGCAGTATAGAAAAGCCAGACTGCAAAAGGTCTGTGCGGTAGTGCGCGTCTAAGCAGTGCACTGGGGATACGGCTAAGCAGGTTACTGTTCATGAGAAAAGCCAGAGGCTTACCTGCACTTCAGGAACAACATCTGGCACTCTCTTGTTAACAGAACTGTATCAATGAATAAGTTACTTCAACATTCTAGAAAACTGCTTCATTTGAAAGGGAAACATTTGTCTAACAACCTCTAATGGCCATATGCAGATTCAGCTTTATAACAGGCACCTGTAAACACAGTTGCTGATGTTGTCACCTGGCCCCGCAATCATCCACACCTTATTCTGAACTGCGTTTGTGCGTCTCTGTTCTTTCCTGGTCATCAGTGTCTGAATACTCTGTAAGATCCAAAGTCAGGACTCGACTGAACATAATGTCATCACGCTAAAAGAAGGAAAGATTATACAATTGAAAACACTTCTGTCATTTGAAATAAGCATTTCATAAATTACTGTGAGATGCAATAACAAGCTTGAGTTACCAAAATGATCTTTTCGTCAAGCCAGCACCTGCACTTATTTCTGAACATAGGGTAGTTCAAATCCAGCAACACAATTACATACACGAATCACTGGAGTAACACTTAAAGTGTAAATCAGTACTTCAACAAACCCCAGTGTGTACTGTTTAACAGAAGTTGGTAATAATTAATTGTTACCTCTGGACACACTCCAATCAATGCGTCTGCTTTGGAATAAAACTCTTCCTTTAGAGAAATAACTATCATTTGTAACTGCTCATGTGCCTGCTCTCTAATGAAACTTGATACCTTTGGGAAGAAGCCAAATATTAGTTAGCTCTGGCAGACTTAAACCATGCTGTAATGAGGGAATGATGAGGGAAGAACTAAACTACATTAGCTCCAGAATTCAGTAACTCAGTTAGGAAGCAAGGATAAAATGAGAAATAAAATAGTCTTACGACAGACACTTTGCATGTTCCTAAGACAACCCCTCACACTTGCTTTGTGAAAATGCTCAAGAAAATAATCATTCACTCCAATGAGTAAAGGTACAGAAAAAGGCCAGTGTCAATGCAAAATATTGCACTTCACAGAACAACAAAGAAAGGTGGAAATTCCCGAACAGGAAAAAAAAGCGTGAAAACATTGTTACTGGCAGTATACTAAGGTCCTCAAAATGTATTAGTTCACTGCAGAAAGCATCATTTTTTTCAATTACCTGCAAAATAAAGGACAAACATGAACTGATAAATTGGTGACTGAGTAAGGCAGTGTCCCACAATATAAATTAAATGCTGAATGAAGGAAAACCTGTACATTTTTAATGCAACTTTTGCCTGCCCTGTTTTATTGATGTGATATAGAAGTCATCTTCTTAATGGAAGCACTGTCTTTAGGGAGTTACATGATTCACATTCATTTTACAGTGCAATTACAAGTAAATTATTGGAGATCTACTTCAACATAAATAGTAAGAATGGGCAGAAAAAGACCTGGGAAGTTGTGAATGCCCCATCCCTGGCAGTGTTCAGGACCAGGCTGGATGGGGTTTTGAGCCACCTGTGGCGGGGGGTTGGAACTGGATGATCTTCAAGGTCCTTTCCAACCCAAACCATTCTGTGATTCTGTGATTCAGAAAACCTGGATACCAGTGAGTACTAGCAACATATATACCATGCATCCTTTTTGCTCACTTGCAGTATTTAATTCCTCTGTCTGAAGGCTCTGGTACTTTCCACTAGCAACTGTATCTCAGAGATAAGGAATAAGATATGAAAGACTCTGGGTGCAGGGAAAAATTAATTATACCTGCAGATCATGGCAATTTTGCTTTTGCTCATTCCGCAATTTAAAACACTTTTCACACATGCTCAAATAATAACGTGACTCTCCTTATAAGAATCCCTAGATAAACATTGAAGCCAATTCAAGGAATTTTTTAGGAAACAGATGTTCTGTCAACATCTTCCTGCATTTCAAGGGCAGCTGCTCTCCAAGCACATTACACATTACCACCTGTATCGCACGCTGTTGATGGGAAAAGAGCAGCTCTGTTTGTCATTCTGCCCCAGTCCCTCTGCACTGCACCTGGCCAGGGCAGAGCAGGCAGGCAGAGGACTGCAGAAGGGCAGTAATCCAAGCACCACCCAGGGTGGTGCAGCTGATGTGCTGCAGCTTCATGGCAGACGAGCGGCTCTAGCCAGGATGATCACAGAACAGGCAAAAGCACAATTCAACTTGAAAGCAGGAAGCAGATTAGCTGGGCCCCAAGGACTCAATGAAAAGCGTAATACAGACAGTACTAAGGCAATTTCAGGGTTAACCTTGATATGTAATATAATCCAAGCTTAACTGCTTTTGGCCATGAAGTATTATTTATAGATGATAGTTTCCTAAATATACATTAGACCAGAACTTAAAATACTTAAAACTTCTGCATTGATGTTCTTTATTTTCTTGGATATACATCTTATAAACATACAACTTGCCAATGTACTGTTTCTATTCTATCATAATGCTTTGTTGCAGTGAATAGTTGTTAGCAAAAAGGGGAAGAGAAATTAAGAGGAGGACAGAAAGGTATTTTAATCAAGCAAGAATTCATGTGGCCAAACCAATGGGAATGATAGCCCCCCAGTGGTTTTAATGTGTAGTTGGCCAATTAGATAAGAGCAATACTCCAGCGATAGAATGACTCAATTCCAACAGGCACATGCACTCTTTAATACTTCTTAGAGGTAAGGGAACTCAAAGGCCTTAAAAATTCCAACTGAACCAAACCACCAGCACTTCACCAGTGACCTTCCTGTCAGACTGTACCACACATGGCACAGCATGGCATGCCTTCATGGATTTAAATAAACTCAGTATATTTTAAAACAGGTTAAGACAGCGTAACCAATCTCTTTATACCAACAACCTATAATGAAAAGTAGCCATCCTTATACAAAAAGATAGCACTATATTGTTGATAGAAAGATAAAGTGAAAGGGACCAACTTACTTTATCGATGTTTGTGTTATCCAGGGCAGCATCTATCTCATCTAAAATAAAGAAAGGTGCTGGCCGAAAACTGTAGAAAACAAGATAGTAGTTTGCATTTAGATGCAAAAACGTTAATGAACATTCTAAGTACTTTACAGATTTCTCTTACTTTATCATAACATTTTGGTAAGAAGTAATGACAAGTAAAGAATAAGGACTTTAATAATGTCTGACTACGCTGTTAGCAGATTCTTTTCCCAACAGGTTTGTAAGTATAACACTATCTTCCTGCCACTTACTTAGCCACATACCTGGGTAAGAGCCTAGTAATACTTTTACCTGTGTATAGCAAACACAAGGGCCAGGGCTGCCACAGATTTTTCACCTCCTGACAAACTGTCCATTGGCATAAAGCGTTTTCCTGGAGCCACACAGTTAAAGCCAATGCCTTCCAGGTAAGGCTCCTCAGGATTTTCAGGACTAAGGAATGCCTGGAAACACAGGTATTTCATTATTAACAGTGACAGCTATACAATTATCAAGATGGGTATTTTTTAGGTTTAAATACTGATTGAGGTAGTGTTGGAACTACCAGTACGACAGTAGGAAACCCCTGTTCATCTATACTGGAGAGCAGCATTATAAAATTCCCCAGTGAATATGCCTTTTTCAATGAACCATGAGCCAGGAGGCTGATTAACAAGACCACCTTTGGAGCAACTCCATGTATCTGTTATTTACAAACTCTCAACCACTAAATAAGCTCAATTTTACTACCTTTCATATAAATGCTTTAATTTTTAAATTACTAAAAATTTAGACTTCCAAAAGAGTTTTCTTTTTTGTTTGGATGTAAATCTACTTCCAAAATTACACTTTTTTTTTGTGAAAATTAGTTTTACAAAATCTTCCTTTGAGGTGGAGAAAGATTTTAATATAGGTAGGCTTTCTCTCCTCTTTGTATCCTTGTTCCCAGGTTCAAAAACTAAAAGCATTATCTTAAAGGAATGGCCATTTTTATGAAACCATTAAAAAGGATGATGGATAAGTCTGTTGTTACATGGTTTATGTTTCCCATTTAACAGAAGAAACGAGAATAATTCAGTCTCTTCCCTTCTGCACAAGCGGATACAGATAAAATTTCCGTAAGAGACACTCATTTCAAATGACTCTTCTCATATTTACAGTGGAAGAAAAACAAACAAAAAAAACCCACACCACTACACATACTTCAGTTTGAAACAATTTCTGTGGTAAAAAGTGGTGGAAGCAAGATACAGTGCTTGCAGGATCTTTGTTTTGTTTGATGTACACTTATATTCCCCTCTTTCTCTGCTGAGAGAATGCCTATCATTGAAATAACACTGCTTTTCAGACTGTAAGCATGTCAAATATTTTGCAACACATCTCCCAGTTCTGTGCCACTGCATCTATCTATGCAAGAGGAAGTTTTCAGATGTATGGACACTACTAGCAAAAAATCATTTTATAGCTTACTAGGGTACATATATTTTTGCTCATCAAGATATGAAAGGAAAGACATTTCTCCCTCCACAGAAGCGGAATGGAAGAGAACTGGTGTCGAACCCAGGAGTGAATCTGTCTATGTGCAATTTCTCAGGCTGTAGTTTCTTTTGAATTATGCCTAGCACACAATGTGCTGATGAAATAAATTCTACTGAGCAATATATTCAGTGCATGAATGCTCTAAGTCCAGAATCTCTGGAAGTTAAATTAATCGATCAAAGCTTCTCTTTTGTAGACTGGACAGTAAATCATTATTAATAAATGTTATTAATATATTAAGAAATATTAAAGGCAATTTCCTGTTAATAGTTGTTAAGGTTCCTTAAAAAGCATCTGTTCAAGCTGCAACCTAGCCCACCTCCTCTGATGGCAAAACTCAGAGCTAATCCTTTCTTTATCTAACCAGAGCATACAGAGCAATCACTTCTCTCCCAGCGCAATCAGATCGGCTTCCTTCAGGTGCTATGTTTGTATCTAGTAGGCAGTTTTAGCTTCCCAGCTAATCACAGGGTAATCTCTTGACCACGTTGCCACTATGGCTCAACTCAAGGCACAGCATCCCAAACCTCAGAAAGCAAGCACCCAACTAATTATTTTTGGCAATGCATCTGGAAAATACTCATTGTTTCAGAGTCATGCAAAGTCAAGATCTGACTGGTGTTCAGTCCAGGGGAGAAGGTATGTGCCCAGTAATCAAGAAGAAGGAAATGCTTTATTATCCTGTCCAACCTACATGTAGAAAGGATATACTTAAAGATACTTAAGATGTTCATTGAGTATCTGACTTTGACAGGAGAACACAAAATCTCGTTTAAGACAGAAAAGAGTTCAAGCCTGAGTTTTTAAACATTCAACCACCTACATGATTTGATGTAACCAAAACATTTGGGAGTTTCCTCTTTATTTCCAGCAGTAATACTGGAACACTTCCAAAGATTAAAAAGTTGTGAATGCTTTATCTTTTTTAACTATTTAAGTAGGGTATAAGGAGCTGCAAATGCAGCTATTACTTCTCTGACCCTAAAATTCTAAGTCTGTATTTGGGTAATTTTCTTCTTCAGGACTGAAAATGTCACTGGAAACCAAAAGTGTTGCTAATTCTCTTATTCTAGATAGCAAAACATCAAGTCGACTTTGAAGCCAAGCCCATGACACACCTGAGCACTACTGTTCCTACAAAGTTTCTTGTAGATCTGGTCGATAGCTACAGAGGCATGCTCGAAGCACCGGCTGAACAGCTCGTACCTCCTTCTTTTCACTTGTTCAAATTCTTGCTTGCATGTTCTAGCTTCCTTCCTGCTGGTCTCAAAAGCTATGAAAAAGGATGACTGAAATTACTCCACAGTAAGCCTCTGAGCAAATACATAGAAGGAATATATGTTGTGTACCATAATAAGCATCAAGGAAAATACTTATTGAAGAAAAAGATTCTAATGCAGATACAAGGAATATACCAACATTCTGAATTTCCTTCTAGATTTCAAATGGAGGCCCCAAAAACTGAACAGCTGGGATGTATTAAATCTGCTTTATGTCTGGAGCAATGAATAAAATTCTTCTCCCAATTCCTTCTGTAAGCTGGGCACCCTTAAGCAGCACCAGCATTTGCTTTTTGCAGCTTCAGAACTCCTTGGTTTTCTTAATATGTAATGTCTGCAATACTCTTTTAGGGAAACAGTAACTGCAGCAATGCTCATATCTGACTTCTGGACAACATGTATGTGTTCCTTCAATGATTTAAGAAAAAAAAAATAATTTTATGATTAAAGTGAGTACTATTTAGAAAATAAGTAAAAATATTTTATGTCATTTAGCAAACAAAATACCTTTCCAATCATTCAAACCGTATTTCAATAAACTACTGCAGTGTTAAGAGTATGTTAATAAACAGTTTACGTATAATGACAACTGAGGATGAACACTTGAGCATAAAAGGTATCTTAATACCTGAAAGAAGCAAAGGCAGCAGGACCAACCCCGGAAAGAGGAATTTCAGTTAGAGTAAAAACTCTCATGGGTTAATAAGAAAGACTCAGCATTACCATATATTGATTCTTGGAACTTGTCCCGAGCTATCTGTAATTTCTCTACTGCTCTCAGGTTTGGAGCAGCTGTCTTCATTAAAGTACTCTCTTTAGATTTTATTTCTTGTTGCATCTGGTTCAGATGATCCTGTATATCTTTATCAGTTTCTAGGTCCTAATGGAAAAAAGTAAAAACACCAAAGCAGTAAAATCTGCTTTTACTTCAAGAAGTTTCAACATACACAGCAAGCATCCATGGTTTCTGGAAGAATTCCCCCTCCCACTCAATAGCTTTAACTAAAAAACACAATAAGCATGAAACTCCACTCTGAGCCTTAGTTCTCAGAATAAATTTACAAGGTCTTAAGTATTGTTCCACAAAGACCTTTAGAAACAGACACAAATTCCCTTCAGCCTAGAAGTCTAGGTTAAAATATAACACAGGAGGAGGATTAGCTGGCTTCACTACTTTATTTGTGAAGAAAACGTCTTGATTAATTCATTACAAATCTGTCTTCAAACAAGTTCCAGTGGTGACAGATTCTTCCCTTGCTCTGTAACCAGCCTCTGACACAAATAGAGTCTTGCAACTTAATGCAGAAGGAGGAAGAAAAAAAAATCAGAGTTATATTTACTTTTTATCATTCTATTTTTTATGGTTTAGAAAAGCTTTAAATTAAATTTAGTTATATGGGAAATTGATTTATCCAGAAATCCCATACAGTTAGTACTATGTATGATTGCAAAAGCAAAATGCAAATACACAGGCACTTAAGCTTAACAGTGGTTTTAGTAACAGTGATTTAGAGACTAGGTTGAAGAATAAATAATTTCAACAAATAAAGTATTTTAAATAAAAACTCAATCTCTAATAACTTCAAACAAAGAGACTACCTTCAGGTCTTCTGCTAAGCTGCTGTAGTCGATCTGAATTGCCTCTTCCCTTTCATAGATACTGGATGTAGCCTGAGTGTCTTCTGTTTCAGGTCCCAGCTATAAATAGGAAGGACATTCCAGTTGATAAATATGACAAATATAAATTTAATTTTAATATAATAATATATATAATAAATATAATTTTAAACCATTAAAGCAATACATTAAAAGGATATAAAACAAAGAGACAGTGGTAACATAGTATGAGGTAAACTTACTCCATAGCTCCTCCCCTAGCCAAAATTGAATTAACAGCAGAGTCTAATTAAAAACCATACCTTTGAAATGAAGATGAAAACATCTGCTAATTTATTTCAGTCTGAAGCTTAGAGGAATGCAGCAGTAATTTATTTATAATACATTTATAACAATGTGCATACTTTAAATCTTCTGATTGGAAAGGTTTACATTTCCATGATAATTCAAGCCCCTTTAAGTAAAGCCTCTGAAGTGTGTAAGTCAAGTCTGAGTTGGCTTTAGAAGCAATGAGTAGCATCAATTCTGTACAGCATAAGCAGAATATCGCCTGGACACTGTACACCTGGATTTCAAGCAACTGCTTTCCGCTGAATGGAACACGTGCTGCCTGTTGTAGTCAGTCCCTTTCCCCACCAAGACTCTTTCTCAGAACCAGATCTCAGTGGTTTTCTCAGGGATATTCATTAGGAATCTAAGCTGTTATTCCTACTGCCCATCTCCTCAGTTTCATCTCTTCCTTACTGATTAACATCAAGAGCTCAGCTGTCTACATACTCTGATGATTGGCAGTCCTTTCCCTTCAGAGACTGCCCATCTCTGCATTCATTTTGTCTTCTGACCCACTCATTCACACCTATCCTCCAGAAAAGCTACTTTTCTAAGGAGTGGTATCAGCAAGACTCCTTTCAAATTCACAGA